GAATATAAATGGTGAATTTTGCTCAAGTAGTCTAGTACATTTCCTTGTTTGCATAACCTGGTGTCCTTTTCCCTTTCATCGGGGCACTCCTATTTTCTCAGGAGTAATGAGTTCTTCCCCACTGGATACAGTCTGGAAGAACTATAATCTGGGGCATCTGACCCAAGGTAGCCCCATTAGATAGTCCCTCCCTTGAGATCTTGAGCAGAGAGATAAGGGCAGTTGGAATAGCATTTTATCTTAATGGCCACAGACTTCATTGAGTGTGTCGTGGATCATTGGAATTTCTGCTTTTTAGCTGCCTGCTTCAACTGTAGTCCTGTGGGCCCCTGTTAGTCTTCTTTGAGTGTCTCTTTTGCTTAAGTTGTCATTTTCTTTTGCTTGCATCCAGAGACCTCTACTTGATAAAAATAAAAACTCATTCAGAAAGATTACTATCATTTCTCTCTTGGGATCCTCATATTTCTTTCTTTCCATGTTTTCTCTAATCTGACTTCGGTCTTTACCTTCTCTTTTACTCCTGGAAGCATTTCTGTTTTTGCCTTTTCTGTTCAGATTAGCAGCAGATTCTTCTTTGTTCCATTTTTATCCAGTTGAACAAAAAGGAAAGTCCTTAGTTACTCTCGTAGTATCATTAAAGTAATATGTGGCACTGGCACTTGGCCAGATTTGGGACATCACTGCTCTGTCAGGATGTGTCTGCTTCTCTGGCAACCTGCTTGATTGAAATTATAGTTGTCTGACCCACTGATTATCTTAAAAAAGAAACAAATCTGTCAACTTGTATCTATACCATTCCATAAAAACAAAGTGTGAGGAAAATTCTCTGTCACAGCTTTTCAGTTGGAAATAGAACATATAGAATATTTGGTTGGGGATTTGTACTTAACAGTAGCAAAGCACATTCTCTCCAGGAATTCTGACTTTTCATAGCTAAAGATCTAGTCGATTCAGATTCAGCCTCATCTTCTTACAATTACTCAATGGATTGTACTAATGAATAATGGTCTCTTTTGAGTGTAAATATTTTGTATGAATCATTGCTAGAATAATTTGGAACATTTATAAATATATTTATCAATCTGGTACTGGTGCTGTGATGGCTTTGTAACTTTAATAAATAAGAATTTCCAGAAGGTCATATTCTTAGGCAGTATACAAATGTCTTTGAAAAGATCTTAAGGAGATTTTATGAAAAATAGCAAAGTAGGGACTTTGTCAAAACTTTCTTTCCAAATAAACAGCAATAAAATTATTTTAGTTTTTTTAAGCCTCATTTATGTTAAAACTAAGAAAGCTGCCAGCTGTCACAAGCTCTGAAGAATGTAGACAGATACAAGATCAAGTGAAGATCAAGTGAAGAAGTGAGTCTTCAGGCCAATAATCAACTCTTTTGCTTGAGGTGATACCAAAATGTTGTAAGAACAAAAGAAGAAAGGGAAATGAGTGGGAGAGTGAGATGAGAACACAGAGGAATATTTACTCAGCAAAATGGAAGAATTATTTTGCTATAACTGCTTTACACTGTCAAGGACATTTTTAAAAAGTTGGATGAAGGAGAGCTGTATTAAACAGAGGGTAAGACAAGAATATACAACTAAAGAAATGGTTAAGGAAAGATTTTTGAAGATAGATCAGTGATTTAAGAAGCTAAAAATTCACAGAGTGGCTGCAGAATTGACACTGCAAAAACAAAACAAAACACCGCCCCCCACCGCCTGCCTCCTAGGAGTAAAAGGTTTAAAAATCACACAGAATGCAGAACAAAGGGTAAGAAAGATGGAGAGAAGCGAAGCTGATACAGATGGATGACAGAAAAACATAATTTTGTTGGACAAAGAGGAAAAGAGGATAAATAGGTGAGAATTTAATGAGTATTACTTTCTGAAGTTGATAGGAGAAATATTTAAACATTTTATTCGGAGACCTATAGGTAATCAGTACTGAAATGGAGGCAGGCTGTATAGTATCCAAATTGCCAGATCAAAAGACAACTATAAAAATCTACAGACCATCTAGTAAAAGAAGGAAAACAGGAATGAAAGCATAAAAAAAAATAAAGAAAAATCAGATGAAAAATGATACAGAATATCTATGAATTCCATTTAAATGGAATATTCTCATGGATTAAAAACTCAGATTGGGTCAAAAAACAAAACCTAAAATGATTCAAAATTTAAATGAAAAGTACAGGCAGTAACATTCCAGGGAAATGCAAATTGAATTTTGAAAGGGTTGCAATATTATGATCCAACAGAATTAAATTAAAGATAAAAGTATTACCTGGGAATGGAACACTTTATAATGCTGCAGGGTACAGTCAGCCCTAAGACAGAACTCTCCTGAACTAAGTAGTGCATTGAATATTCCACTGAAACATCCAAAGGCAATCTATTGGAAATCAAAAGATAATTGACAAAGAAAATATTGTAGCTGTTGTATAGATGTTGATTCATAACTGTTTCTTTAGTAATACTCTCCTGGCACACATCCAGTTATAAAGGAGTACTTTAATTTCTTTTTCTAATTTTCTTCCTTTAATTGTTCTCCTTTACAACTGCTGTATTGTTGCTCTTTGAGTATGAAGTATTCAGTCTGTCAAACCTGTCATCCCTTACTCTGCAGACCCATCATGTGTCCTGTTTTATAAAAATAATGGCCGTAAGGCATAAGTCATCCTTTCCGCCTACCTTCCCTCACAAACTGTTGTTTCTTCGGATAGTAGAATATATGTTTCTTATTCTAACACTAATGCCTGCCGTTTTCCCTGCTTTGATGGTGTCACATCGTGTCCCATGCTGATTATTAACAGACGGCATCTCTAGCTCAGATCTTTCCTGTGTGCGCACCCACCGAGCCATTTGCCTCCCGGACACCTATCTCTCCAGAGATGCCCATCAAGGATCTCAAACTTGTCATGCCCCAAATTGAACTCATCACTTTCCTCCCTAATCTTACTCTTCCTGTACAACTCATTACTTCAGTGAATGAGTCTCCCAGTGAATACGGAAGACTACCATTTCTCATAAGGGCTGTGGTTGGTGATTGGTGGGAAGTGCAGTGGGTTCACCCATATTATCAACTTGCAGTTGGGTTGTTTTAGCTACGGACAGAACCATTTTGTCATATCACTTAGAAAACCCACAGCATAATCATCCTTTTGGCCAGTGGAACATTTGCGAGAATCTCCTCCACTGAGCGACTGCTGCTTTCTCCTCCAAATCCATACCTTTGCCATGATTCTTGGGACAGACAGGCATTTTCTTTTCACTTTGAATATAGGAAGCAACATCTTCCAGTGTTTAAAGAAGACATGGAAGCATTAAAAAAAAAAAAACAAAAACAAAAAAAAACAAAACAAGCAAAACCCTTGAAAAAGTAAAAATAATAAATGGTAAAACTTCTCAGACGGGGATTTGGTCCTGGGTGGCACCTGTTGTGGGGAGAAGCGACAGCGTGTACAGACGGGCAGGCTAACTGTATTTAAGCAAGTTTGGGTCATGTTTTTACTTGTTAGTAGTGACACTGTTTCTTTAGAAAGCATCTTAAGATTCCTGATTAATAATATAAAGAGAGAAACTCCTTTGTGCTCCCCGAAGGAAAAAGAAACTCTAAAATTTCATGGAATTTAAATTGCCCTGTCTTACTTATTAAAGAGTGGCAAGAAACCATTTTATCACTATTTTGATTTGTTAGTTTAAGAATGTAATTTTTACTCTTAATAGGGTACTGTAATATTTGTCCTGTATTTTTTCTTCTACTTTTTACTGAAGTGACAAGTGATTATAGTTATTTGAATCTCTGATTCTCAGGGGACTAGGGCATGGATGAGGGAGGGTGGTGGTGGTGGTGGTATGTGCAAGAGAGATTTCTATGTTGATGAAAAGGGAATCGAATGAGTTACTAAGAATTGTAGTTCTTAAGATCTGAATTGCTTAAGAGTGTTTAAAACTGTTGAGGCTGGGATGAAGGTTGAGAACCACAGATTGAGGTTTTGAGAAAAGCCAGGACCAGAAATATCTGTTCTGGTTACATCCCGCTACTGAATGTAGCTGAATGGTCATTTGAAAACATTTTTCTGGTTCCTTAGCACCCTTTATTGTAGGTGAACTATTAATGCCTTGGGGGGAAATTCCTAGTGCTGCAGCATAAAATGATTCACAGCAGCACTTGTGATACCATTACCAATACTTTAAAAGGAGGGGAAAGCCCTTATTTCTACAGTTGGCTTGTGGAACTAAATTAATGATAAATCTTGATGTTTAGTGAAGCAGTCTCTTCACTGTATCAGCCTAAAATAAGGACTGCAGAAGAGTCTCAAGCTAAGCTAAACTATTTTAAGGCATTGAAAGATGGGCTATATTTGTACCCGTGAACAAGGTGACTAGTCTAAGTGTGCTATTCCCAATACACGTCCCTTCCCTCCCACATCTTCTGCTTGCTAGTTTCTGCCAGCACGTGCATTTGCCTTTTTTTTTTTTCTCCCCCAAAGTAGACGTGAAGCACGGAGCCCAGTGCAGGGCTTGCTTGAACTCAGGACCCTGAGGTCATGACCTGAGCTGAGGTGAAGAGTCGGACACTTACCTGACTGAGCCACTCAGGTGCCCCTGCATTTGTCTCTTTTTAAGGGAGTGGCATTTTATTCTCATTCCCTGTGTGTCAGATATCACCACTTGTTGACTTTGACCAGTCTGTATCAAACGTGGATGTTTGTCATAGATTGGTGGTATATCACTTACAGGTGTTTGGGGTTTTAACATGTTGAAATGCTACTTTAAACTACTGTGTAAGCAGAAGCTTTTAATAAGCAAGCTTTTGAGTGAGGGACAATTTCTAATAGCTTTCTTCACAGGCCTTTTCACCTGTTTCCAGACTCTTGCCAACTGAGTCCTGTAATAAAGACAACTGTTTGAACATCCTGTTTTATTTAGCTACAGTGGCCTACAAGATCATTATTTATTTTAAAATATTTTTTTCTTTTTGTTTATATTTTCTGCTAGATATTAAGGCTGAGACACACCACAGGTGTAACAACAAAGAAAAATGTTGCAGCCTTAAGACGTGAAACCTACACAGTGGAGTTTATTAAAAAGCAGATTGAAGAGTTCAACATAGGAAAGAGACACTTAGCCAACATGATGGGAGAAGATCCCGAAACTTTTACGCAGGAGGATATTGATGTAAGTACAGTTACTCTGCTGGGAAACTAATTACTGTAGAGTGTTAGATACTGAAAATACTTTTCTCCAGCTTGAGTTCTTTAGCTCTGTGTAAATTTTAATCAAACTGTCAGAGTAAGGACAAATACCATTATGCATTGCATGTTGGAACCAGGCTTTCAAAGAGAGATGCTACTCTGTATTTGAAGCATTATCAAGCGGAGTAAGTTTTAGACTTTAACGAGAATTGGATAATTTTCTTGTGTCAAGGTCCTAGGAGCCACTACAAATGCTTATACACAATTTGGAAACAGTGATCCTGTTGTGTAGTCTTAAACTCCACTTTCTTACAAAATGATGAAACAAATGGTGATAGAAATATAGTCGAGCTTATAGGAAATTCCATGAGTAAACCTGAGTCAGGTGTTTTTAATTATCTTAACTATACATTTAAATTTTCAAAGTCATCTTCTAAATGGTTTGAGTTAGAACTCTGTTGTTCCACTTTTGAGTTGTTCTGACTCTCATAAAAGTAGTAATGATAAGTAATACACTTTTGCGAGACATGTCCCAGCATAGCAGAGCTACTTAATATTTAACAACTTCGTGATTTGTTCTAATTTTTTAAAACTTTATTTTGAATTCCATTATAGTTAACGTATAGTGTTATATTAGCTTTAGGTGAACAATGTAGCGATTCCACACGTCCGTACAGAACCCAGTGCTCCTCACAAGTGCGCTCCTCCCATCGCTTCTGTAACCCCATCCTTGTACCAGCCTCCTGTCTGGTAACCATCAGTTTGTTCTCTGTAGTTAAAAGTTTGTTTTTTGGTTTGCCTTTCTCTCTTTTGTTTCCCGTGCTCATTTTGTTTTGTTTCTGAAATTCCACATCTGAGTGAAATCATACAGTCTTTGTGTTTCTCTGAATGCCTTATTTCACTTAGCATTATACTCTCCAGCTCCATCCACGTCATTGTAAATGGCAAGATTTCATACTTTTTAAAGGCTGAATAATATTCCTCTGTGTATATGTATCACATCTTCATCTGTCCATGGACCCTTGGGCTGCTTCCATGATTTGGCTATTATAGATAATGCTGCTATAAACATAGGGATGCTTGAATCCCTTTGAATTAGTGTTTTTGTATTTTCTGGGTAAATATTCAGTTGTGTGACTGCTGGATCATAGGGTAGTTCTATATATATATATAAAATTTATTGTCAAGTTAGCTAACATACAGTGTGCTCTTGGTTTCAGGGGTAGAGTACCTTGAGTCATCACTTACATACAACACCCAGTGCTCATCCCAGCAAGTGCCCTCCTCAATGCCCATCCCACCCGTTTCTCACTCCTCTCCCCTCCAATCAACCCTCAGTTTGTTTTCTGTATTTAAGAGTCTGTTATGGTTTGCCTCCCTCTCTGTTTGAAACTATTTTTCCACTTGCGTTCCCCTGTGGTCTTTTGTTAAGTTTCTCAAGTTGCACATATGAGTGAAAACATATGATATTTGTCCTTCTCTGACCGACTTATTTCACTTAGCATAACACCCTACAGTTCCATCCATGTTGTTGCAAATGGCAGGATTTCATTCTTTCTCATTGCCAAGTAATATTCCATTGTATATATAAACCACATCTTCTTTATCCATTCATCAGTTGATGGACATTTGGGTTCTTTCCATAATTTGGCTATTGTTGAAAGTGCCGCTATAAACATTGGGGTATACGTGCCCCTATGAATCAGCACTCCTGTATCCTTTTGATGAATTCCTAGTAGTGCTATTGCTGGGTCGTAGGGTAGTTCTATTTTTAACTTATTGAGAAACCTCCACACCCTTTACCAGAGTGGCTGCACCAGTTTGCATTTCCACCAACAGGGTAAGTAGGTTTCTTTTACTCCAAATCATCTCCAGCACCTGCCATTTCTTGTGTTGTTGATTTTAGCAATTTTGACAGGCATGAGGTGATATCTCTTTGTAGTTTTGATTTGCATTTCCCTGTTAATGAGTGATGTTAAGCATCTTTTCATATCTTTGTTGGTCATCTGGATGTCTTCTATGGAGAAATGTCCGTTCATGTCTTCTGTCTATTTTTACCCAGATTATTTGCTTTTTGGGTGTTGAGTTATAGAAGTTCTTTATATATTTGGGATACTAACCCTTTATTGGATATGTCATTTACAAATATATTCTCCTATTCCATAGGTTGCCTTTTAGCTTTGTCACTTCCTTCACTGTGCAGAAGCTTTTTATTTTGATGTAGTCCCAATGGTTTGTTTTTGCTTTTATTTCTCTTGTCTCAGGAGACATATCTAGAAAAATGTTTCTATGGCCAGTGTCCAAGAAATTACTCCCTGTGCTCTCTTCTAGGATTTTTATGGTTTCAGTTCTCACATTTAGGTCTTTAATCCATTTTGGGTTTGTTTGTTTTTTTGATTTTTGTTTGAGAGGGCACAAGTGAGTGGGGGCAGAAAGAGGGAGAGACAGAGAAAGGGAGAGAGAGAGTCTCATGAGGGACTGAGAGAGAGATTGAGAGAGAGGGAGAAGTAGGGCTCACCCAGAGTGGGCTTGTGTTCACCAAAGCTGGGCTCATGCTCACCCAAAGTGGGGCTCAGACTCATGAACCATGAGATCATGACCTGAACCAAAGTCGATGCTTAACCGACTGAGCCACCCAGGTGCCTCTTTAATCCATTTGAATTTTTGTATACGATAAAAGAAAGTGATCTTTTTGCATGTAGCTGTCCAGTTTTCCCAACACCATTTGTTGAAGGGACCTTTTCCCATTGGATGTTCTTTTCTGCTTTGTGAAGATTAATTAAGATTAATTGTGAGTTTGTTTCTGGGTTTTCTATTCTATTCCATTGATCTATATGTCTATTTTTGTGCCAGTACCATATTATCTTTTTTTTTTTCCAAATAGTTTATTGTCAAATTAGTTTCCACATAACACTCAGTGCTCATCCCCACAAGTGTCCTCCTCCGTGCCCATCCCTCCTCCTCCCCACATCCATCAGTCCTCAGTTTTTGTCAGCATTCAAGAGTCTCTCATGGTTTGCCTCTCTCCCTTTCCCCCACCATTTCCGCCCTTCTTCTCCCCCTTGTTCCTCCGTCAAGTTCCTCCTAATCCTCCTATACATGCAAACATATGATATTTGTCCCTCTCTGCCTGACTTATTTCGCTCAGCATAACACCCTCAAGGTCCATCCATGTTGCTACACATGGCCAGATTTCATTCTTTCTCATTGCCATGTAGTGTTCCATGGTATAGATAAACCACATCTTCTTGATCCATTCATCTATTGATGGACACTTAGGCTCTTTCCATGTTTTAGCTATAGTGGAGAGTGCTGCCATGAACATTGGGGTCCATGTGCTCCTATGCCTCAGCATTTCTGTATCCCTTGGGTAAATTCCTAGCAGTGCTATTGCTGGGTCATAGGGGAGTTCTATTGTTAGTTTCCTGAGGAACCTCCACACTGTTTTCCAGAGGGGCCGCACCAGTTTACATTCCCACCAACAGTGTAGGAGGGTGCCCGTTTCTCCACATCCTTGCCAGCATCTAGAGTTCTCTGATTTGCTCATTTTAGCCACTCTGACTTGTGCCAGTACCATATTATCTTGATCACTACTGCTTTGTAATATAACTTGATGTCTGGAATTGTGATACCTCCAGAGCTTTGCTTTTTTTTAAACTTGCTTTGGCTCTTCAGGGTCTTTTGTGGTTCCTCATAGGTTTTAGGATTTTTTTGTTCTGTGAAAAATGCTGTTGGTATTTTGATAGGGATTGCATTAAGGTCATATGTTGCTTTGGGTAGTATGACAGTTTAACAATACTTGTTCTGCCAATACATGAGTATGGAATGCTTTCCATTTCTTTGTGTTGTCTTCAGTTTCTTTCATCAGTGTTTTATAATTATCAGAGTATAAGTCTTTCACCTCTTTGGTTAGGTTTATTCCTAGGCATCTTACTATTTTTGCTGCAGTTATAAATGGCACTGCATTAATTACTCTTTCTGCTGCTTCATTATTACTGTATAGAAATGCAGCATATTTCTACATATTGATTTTACATCCTGTGACTTTACTGAATTCATTTATTAGTTCTAGTTTTTTGACGGAGTCATTAGGCTTTTCTATATGTAGTGTCATGTCATCTACAAATAGTGAAAGTTTTACTATTTCCTTACCAATTTTGGATGCCTTTTTTACCCTCTCTTCCTGTTGTCTAATTGCTGTGGCTACAACTTCTGGTTCTATGTTGAATAAAAATGGTGAGAGTGGACACCCCTGTCTTGTTCCTGACCTTAGGGGGAAACCTCTCAGTTTTTCCCCATTGAGTATGATGTTAGCTGTGGGTTTTTCATTCATGGCCTTTATTATGTAGAGGTATATTTCATTTAAACCTACTTTGTTAAGGGCATTTATCATGAATGGATATTATAATTTGTCAAATGCTTTTTATGCATCTGTTGAGATGATCATAGGGCTTTCATCCTTTCATTATTGATGTGCTGTATCATGTTGATTGATTTACAAATATTGAACCACCTTTGCATCCTGAGAATAAATCCCACTTGATTGTGGTGAATGATTTTTTTAAAGGTATTGTTGGATTCTGTTTGCCAGTATTTTGTTGATTGTGGTGAATGATTTTTTTTAAAGTATTGTTGGATTTTGTTTGCCAGTATTTTGTTGAGGATTTTTGCATCTGCGTATCAGAGATACTTGCCTGTAGTTCTCCTTTTTTTGTGGTGTCTTTATCTGGTTTTGGTATCAGAGTGAAACTCTCCTCATAGAATGAACTTGGAAATTTTCCTTCTTCAATTTTTTGGGAATAGTTTAAGTAGGATAGGCATTAACTCTTTAAATAGAGTTTGGTAAAATTCGCCTGTGGAACCCTTTGGTCCTGGACTTCTGTTTTTGGGAGTTTTTTTTTTTTATTACAGATTCAATCTTCTTGTTGGTTATTGGTCTGCTCAAATTTTCTATTTCTTCCTCCTCCAATTTTAGTAAGTTAC